GGATACGATTGAGACTTGTTCTGAAGACTCTTTCCCTCTCAGTTGGTATTTTGAGCTACTACATCCATAAGTATAGGTCAAGTTCATCAAATTGTTTATCAAAAAAATTTTTTTTAATTTTCCTCAAGTTGAGTTCTGATCATCAAGCTATTGAAGCTAGTTCGGATGGGTATGTATGTTTCCTCTCACTTCATATCAGTTGGATGCTTTGCTTTCAGCTCTCGCCCTCTGTGGCTATGTCCTTGTTCTTGGGCTCAGGAGTCCCCAGCCCTTACCACACTTGGAACCAAATAGCCCCTCCTCTTCTCTCTCTCTTCTTGAGGTCAATGGGAGTTGATGGAATGTGGTTAAACTCAGTCCATGTCTTCATTGCTGCCTTTCCCCTCTTCCACTCACCAGCAGACCAGTGTGGTCGCCAGCTAACTTAATGCCTGCTCCTGTGTTCCCTTTGAGTTTCAGTCTTAGAGGGGGTTCTGTCCTGAAGGGACTTGATTGCTTGCCTTGATCGCTTCCCAGCGAACAATTTGCTTGTTCTTGTAGTAGCCAATCATGCTGCCATTTTTGTTTTTTGGATTTTTCCTGCTGGTCCTTCTTTCAAGAAGTATCTTCTGTTCTTCTAGTTGTTCCAGGCTGGTCTGCTTGTCCTTTCAAGTGGTAATTTACCACCTCAGAAGATTCGGGATGGGGCTCAGGATTCTACCTAAGGTCCTATACACTACAAAGGCTCTGCAAGAAGCCTATTTCACTGGGCAAGTTCTAGAACCCCTTTTAGGTATTCCATTCAGTTATAGGCTCTCAGCAAGATTTTAAATATGCTTAGTAATGGTAACTCAGCTCCATTCTTTTCTGGGAAAAGGAAGTTTGGAGATGAAGGTACTGTTTTCACATCACATTAACCAATGCCTTGTTGCACCACTGTGTTAGATTAAGTGAATTTTTCTGCTTTATTTCTTCTTTTTAAAATGTTTTATTGTGAATTATGTGATAGTTTACATGGGAGAACATTAGCTTTATGTTCATACTATCATATATCGTTGCATTGCCATGGTTACAATCCCCTCCATGCATCATCAAGCAACCAAGGGGTACATGCTGCATCTGCTTTATTTCTTGATGTCTCAAGAAAAACTAGAAGCCAAAACTTGTTCACCTTCTAATACACTTTCTATGGCAGCATTGGCTTAGTCCTCACAACACACTGAAAATTGTGAATAAGCAGAACAGGATTTGTGGGACTGTGGGATGTAAAATATACTTGTATATTTTAGATTATATAATTGCATTACAAGGAACTCTGGTATCATAGTGGTTATGAATCAGGCTGTGAACCTTAAGGTCAGCAGTTCAAAACTACCAGCTGTTCCATGGGAGAAAGATAAAGCTTTCTGCTCCCATAAAGATTTACAGCCTTGGAAATCCTGTACAGGGTCGCTATGAGTTGGAACCGACTCCACGGCACATAACTACTACCAGCAATTGCATTATATGAGGGGCTTGCTGGTCAAAATGTTCATGGAAAAAATGGAATTTAAAGATAATGGAACTTTCCCATGAACTTTTTCAAGCCCCCTCATGTAATTAAGGAGTCCTGGTGTGGCACTGTGGGTTAATTCGCTGGACTGCAAAGTTGTTTGAACTGCAAATTTGGTGGTTCGAGCTCATCAGCTGCTCCTTAGAAACCCTATACAGGGTAACTATGGGTCAGAATTGAATCGATAACACTTAACAACATGTAATTAAAATTAGAAATATAGCACACCAAGTATACTAGCTTAGATATTTAATATTAAATTTGTACTTCCAGATAACTTCTTTTCCTATTAATTTTTGTACTTATTTAGTTGACTGCTAACTGAACCCACCAGCTGCTCACTGGAGAAAGCTGTGGTGGTCTTCTTCCTTAACAATTACAGTCTTGGAAAGCCTATGGGACAGTTCTGTCCTACAGGGTCATTACAAGTCAGAATTGATTTTACAGCAATGGGTTTGTTTTTTATTTAGCTTACTGAGTCCTGGGTTGTTGTTAAGTGCCGTAAAATTGGTTCCAACCCTTAATGACCCTGTTTCCGAGGAGGGGCTGGTGAGTTTGAAGTGTGGATTTTGCAGTTCAAACCGAACTTGTAGTCGAGTGCTTAGCCTACAGTGCCACACCAGGACTCCAAAGTGCTCCTGCTTGGTTGTTAAATGAAAGCCTAGAGGTTCAAGGTTACCCAGAGGTGCCTCAGATGAGAGGTTTGGTGAAAAATGAGCCATAGCAAAGTGCATGGGTCACAGATGTATCCTGCCACACATGGGCCACAGTGAGTTGGAATGAATGAATTTGATGGCAACTGGCTTTTAGTTTCTAAGCGTGAATATATCTTTTTATATAAAAAAATGTTTTGGTTGAACTGGCCAAAACCGACTTGTAATCCAAACAACCACTTCTGATTCTTGATTTTTTGTTGTTAAGTGCCATTGAGCAGGTTCTGATTCATTGGTTCTGACCCTTAGAGACCCTGTATAGGGTTTCCGAGGAGTGGCTGGTGAGCTTGAACTGCCAACCTTGAGATTCAAACCAAGCTTGCAGTCCAGCGCATTAACTTGCAGTGCCACACCAGGTTCCTGACAGTCACTATCAAGCAGATACTTTGCATGGTGGGTGGTACATATTTTTATTTTTAAACCACCATTCAAATTTCCAACACTAGAAATCATTTTTTAGAATCTAACAGCCTCTCCCAGCACCTCTACCTTTGACAAAATATACTGTTGACCTTTTTTGTAAAAATGCAGATTATTTTCAAATCCTCTGAATTTTTCTGGTATGGAACATGGCATAATGGTGAAGCCAGCACACTTTGGAGATTGGGGTGTCTGAGTTGGCAGCCAGGCCCAGGACTGGGCTGTGTGGGAGGCTCAGCTCTGCCATGGAGCCTGGGGTGCTACTCAAAGGGGTAGAAACAACAGGCCCAAGAATGCCAGTGGCTCTGAAGGCTGAGGATTCAGCACTTCAACTGATGAGGAGCCCCAGACTACATTTGACTGTCTTATCAGAGTGACCCTGGGCAAGTTAGTCTTTCTGCTTCAATCTGTCCACCTGTGCAATGGAGAGAATAATCTCTACCTGAGGATTAAAGAGTGTCGTGCTTGGCACACAGTAGGTACAATACATACTTATTAAAAAGATGGAGAGGGAGGCTCTAGAATAGTCCTCTAAATCGCATGCTTAGAAACAGCCAGAGTCAAATTGCTTGGATCTGAATTCTGGCTCTACCCACTTAGGATGTGACCCAAAAGCAGGTTACTTAGCGTTCCAAACCTCAGTTTCTTGGCCCATACATGGTGATAGCACTGTTCTCCATGGTGAGGACAGTTCATAAAGTGCTTAAACACAAGTATATACTTAACAAATGACAACGGGGCACAGTGGACAACTTCCGCCTTTATTGCTAACTGTGTGTCCAGATGGATTCAGGTCTCACCTTCCCACTTTTTCATCCTCATCAACAGCCTCTCATGCAGCACTTTCTCTCAGACCCAGCCACCCAGAGCTAGGTGACAGCTCACAAGTTAGCCTGATAGTGTCTTTCAGATCAGTTGCCCATTCAGCATTTTCCTGATTCTAGCTATCTGGAGTTGGGTCAGAACTCACATGTTAGGAGAATGCCTTCTTCCACACTCAGCCAAACTGGCAGATGCCAGCCTCTGCTGTTTCTCACTGCACCAGTGAGTTTGTTAGTTCACTAGAATGACTCACAGAGCACACAGAATGCATGAAATTTACAACTGCAAAACACTGCAACCAAAAATAATTTAAAAAGAGACACAGAGGGTGAGTTCTGGGAGGGATGACAGCATAGAACATCTAGGTCTCAAGGGCAGACATGCTATCCTTTCCTATGCATGGCCACCAACCAGGAAGCTCCCCTGAGCCTTAAGGCTCAGGGTTCTTTTCTGTCTCCTTATGTGACCAGGCTAGATTACAGTATATTTTGTGAGGTTTAGTCAGCGTTAGGCCCCCTGGAGTATCTCTTTGTTTGTTCAGCACCAATTCATTAGCCTCTGTTGTTGGTATGGCTGGAAAGAATTGACAAAGCCAAGTTGTTTTCTGCAAGGTGGTTCAACACCTTACAGTTGACTAATACTAAATGGTGAAGCTGGGACTTGAACTTGGGCTTGCCAAGCTCTGTAGCCTGAGCCCTGGCCCACTGTCAGTTCCCATTTCCCACAAGTTATCCTCCCAAATGGAAAAGCATGTCACCCATCAGATGTTCTCCATTTTTTTGTAGATTGACATTTTTTATCTTTCTTTTAATATATATTTTTAAAATTCATCTTTGGACTCTTTGGAGTAGTTTATCTAAAAAAAAAGTAATGCCAAGACTGGTTAGAATGATTGCACCTTGCCAGGTATTAATGGAATTCCTTTACAGACACTGAGGTTAGTGACCACTGTCTGTCCAAGTTCCAAGTAAGTGCAACACACCCTTCTTTCATTCGTATTTTACTGGGGAGTTATATCAAAGAACCTATCAGTTATAAAATTTTTTGTATTAAATGAATCATCAGACTAGAAGCTTAATCTAGGAAGATCAGATTTTTTCAAAAAGACCAGAAGCAAAATCAAACATGACATTTTATTTTACAAATATTTGTATATTTAATAGTCATAAAAAAAGTACTTTAAAAACAACTTTGTACAAATGTTAATACCAAGGAATTGCTAAAGAGATGAGGCTGTTAAAAGTTTAAGTTTTAAGATCTGCAAAGTAAGTGAAATGAAATGAGTCATCTTTTATTAAAATATAACTTTTATCTCTTCCTACCATATACAAATTATATATATGTATATTTTTAATAAATATATATTATGTCTCTTTAATGATGGCTTATTTGACAATGTTTATCTGGTGCTTTGAGGCTGTTGGAGTTTACTTGGTAAGGAACACAAATACAAAAACATAAAGTGTCTGTAGCGTCTCCTAAAACAGTTTTGGAATGTCTTCTCTTAGCTCTCCTCACATCAGGACTTCTGAATTTTCTGAGGAGGTGTCAGCAAACAAAAGTTCATCTGGTGATGTGCTCCCTAAGGGCAGTGTACTAGACTGGGACCAGGTGACCCCATTTCTTCTTAGTCTGTCCTCTGGTAAAACACAGTCCTTTCCAGATGGCACCGGCATGAGAGTGGCAGAAGGCAGATCTTCCCATTCCTCACTGCCCCCGTTCAGGATGTACCTTCCTTCTGGAGGTTCGTTCTCATGAACTTCTGCTGTGACCACGCTGACTGTAGATCTGGAAGTGCAATATGCAATGATAGAGTCAGGATCCATGTTCACATCTAGCTGAGCAAACGGAGGGCCTTCGGCCAGGTCCTCACAGCTTCCCAGCAACTGTGTGTTGATATAAATGACGTCTGCTTGGTCCTGAACATCAGGCAAACTTTCCAAGAGCTTTTCTAGCTGCAGTCTCAACACTGAAAAGGTAGGTCGGTCCAAGGGATCAGTTCTCCAGCAAGAGTACATTATTTCGTACCTAAAAGGAAAAGACTGAGTTATTGCCCGATACAGAACTCACAGCACTCAGATTCCTTACAGTCATCTACCACTTTGTTCTAAAAGAATCTTTATTTTCACTGCATTTTAGTCAGTATTAGTTTTACGGTGGCTCCATAGGATAAGTACTGGACCGAAAACCATAAGGTTGGCAGTTTGAGTCCATCAGCCACTCTGTAGGAGAGAGATGAGACTTTCTGCTCCCACAAAGATTTATGGCTCAAAAGCTCCATATAGGATGGCTATGACTTAGAACCAACTCCACTGCACATTAACAAGAACAACAACAGTTCTACTCTTTGGAACTTACTTTTTGTTCCACTTTTGCAAATGTTCCATGGGTGTTTGACAGGAAAGTAATGCTCTGTTTCTACGAGTGTGGTACTTATTTCTGTCTTTGCAAAGGAGTATTTAAGAGCCTTTACGTAGGGACTCAGCGGCACTCAACAACAACAACAACTTTATATCAGGGGTTGGCAGATTTTGGCCTTTGTATATGTTTTTTAAAATAAAGTTTTATTGACATATGGCTATACCAATTTATTCATTTATGTATGTTTTAAGTTTTGTTGACTACAATTGGCTGAGGTGAGTAGGTGCTACAGAGACCAGGAGTTGGTGTGGGGAGAGTGGGAGGACGAAAGAAGGGGACGTCCTTGTGTTGGGTGTGCTTTGTGTGCATCACTACATCTAATGTGTCACTTTAATAAAAGGGGTGGGATTAGGGATGTTATAGAAGGTGCAGAGGTCAGATGACTAATGGGACAATATGGTGACCATACTCAAGCGCAGTGTTCTTCATGATCCTTGGCTGTGCTGCTATAGGGGGCTGCTCTCTCAGGGAGGTTTCTTCACTCCCAGTGTCCAATATAGTTCAGAAGGACACTGGAGGTACATTAACACAAACAACAAAGTACTAGAAAGTGACTGAACTGGGAACAGGGATAAAGAGTGAATTCTGCCATCAGTTCACTTTGATTCTTTCCTGCTCTAAGGCACTGATATTTCTGTCACTGGATAAGAACACAACATAAATTGAAGTAATCTGATACATACAGATTATTAGTATTTTATGGACATAAATGTAATTTAATTATATCATGTAGATCCTTGGGCTAATTCTACAAAGGCATGGTACTTCATAGACAACGCACTGGTCTCAACTCGTGCAAAATAATCATTTTAATTTGTCTACTTTTTTTTGGCTTTCATCTATACTTGCATGCATTTCTAGAAGGTAGAGAATTATAAAGTGCTTTGCATATGAAGAGATGAGCCATGAACCCTGACACTGATCAGGTGGGAGGCGAACCTCCTGGTCTAACAGCCCTGGTTTACTTACACCTGTACCTCAGATTTAGGGTCTTTTATTTGAGTTTTTTTTTTAGCCTTCATTAGATGGTCAGTTAAATTTGGCAAATAATTTTTGAGGTTTCATGGCATAATCTAATTTTCATGATTCCTTTTTTCCTCCTCCTTTTCTCCATAAAGCCTTGATTGTTTGTAGTCTGAGCTTTGAAAGAGTCTGTCCTCTTGGACATAATCTCCTTTTTGTTACTTCATCAAAGCACTGTATTATTTATTTTCATTTACTCTATGTCTCGGTAGAAAATGTTTAAATAATCTTTCCCATGGATGCACCCATCACCTGTATATAGCCATTGTTGTTGTTTTTGTTAAGTGCCGTAGACTCAGTTCTGACTCACAGCAACCCAGTACAGGGCTTCCACGGAGTGAATGGTGAGTTTGAACCATCGACCTCGTGGTTCAAACCGACCTTGCAGTCTTGAATTTATCCTACAGCACCACACCAGGATTCCATATATATTCATAACAATATGATTAAAAATGTATTTACTGTCAGTACATTGTTGTTGTTGTTAAGTACCATGGAGTTGGTTCTGACTCATAGGTTCCCTGTATAGATTTTCCAAGGAGCAGTTCGTGAGTTTGAACTGCTGACTTTAAGGTTCACAGTCCAGTGCTGATCCTATAACGCCATACTAGGAGTCCTTCAATACTTCTGAAATCTACAAATACTGTATTTTTTCTCAAGTAACACTCATAGTATACGTTTCTTTGATGAACTGTACAATTCCCTCAAGAGTGACTTGCTACATAAGCTCTGGACATTATTTATACAGGTACATTATATGCAAAAAAAAAAAAAAAAATGCAGCATGACTTTTAAAGGCACAGTGAGGATGTATTCTGTCTAACCCATTCACATAAAAGGGCAATTTCATAGGACAGGGCTGAGAAGAACAGCAAGAGACCTTAAGAGGGGCACTGTGATTTTTGTGATTTAAATTTTATGGAAATTAAAAAAATAGGTTCAGTAGTTGCCTGGCTTAATGGTCATTGTTGTTTTTCTGAAGAGATTTTATAAGCAATGCAGTCCTGTACACTGGCTGGCTGTTCCTTCCACCCATTGTTGTCAACGCCCTGCTTTGTTCCAGACTCTTCAGCGAACTCTGCTGGGCCTCTGTCTCCACAGCCCTAGCTCTGCTACGCAGCCAACTCTGACTCCCATCCCTTTCCTTCCTGGGGCCTGGGCTGTCCCCGCGTGGAAACACAGGAATGGATCAATGAGTAAAGCAGGATTTCTGAGAGGGGAAGGATGAGCTGGAGTCTGGCATTCCAGGCCCTTGATACCACAATGACTCAAAGGGCAAGTTCAGTGTGGGGGATAGTTAGCTGTATGAAGATTGATGGGTGTTCTAATGAGTGGTAGGTGATTGCTGGGGCTGTGTGAGCCCCAGAGAAGAGTCCCCACTCAGAGTGTCAGTTGCAGAGAGAATATTATCAGCATTGCTGGCAGCGTGTAGGGTTGGAGTGTCTCAACACAGCAGCTCTGTGAAGGAAGATGCACAGGCCCACTTACATAGTGTCCATCTGAGACCAGAGTCCCACTTTCTCCCACGACTTCTGTCATGGATTGAATTGTGTCCCCACAAAATATGGGTTGGAACACCAACCTCTACACCCACATGTCAGTTTGTCGCATTGTGGTGGCTTGTGTGTTGCCATGATGCTAGAATCTATGTCACTGGTGTTTCAAATGTCTGCAGGGTCACACAAGGAAGACAGGTGCCCGTAAAGCTTCCAGACTAGACAGAATAGAAGTAGGAAAAGGAGGCCACTGCTGAGGGATTAGCCTCTGAAAACATTTTATGACTAGCAGGAAAACCTTGCTGGATACAGTACCAGAAGAGAAGTCCCTCAGTTGGGAAGGCAGGCACTCAAAATCTGAGTAAGGAAGAGCAGCCTCCTCAGAGTAGAGTCGGGATTAATGATGTGGATGGAGCAAAGCTTTGGGGACCTTCATTTGCTGATGGGGCACAACTCAAAATGAAAAGAAACAGCTGAATTAGTGAATTATTATTCAATAGTAATCAGAACGTAGAAAGTACAAAGTCTGAATTTAGGAAAATTAAAACACGTAAAGATGGAGAAATTAATATAACATGTGAGTAAGATCATTAAAAAAGGTTACTGTAACCCACCGACAGGGAGCTGCCAGAAATTCAAGCTGGATTTAGAAGAGGATGTGGAATGAAGGATTATCATTGCTGTTGTCAGATGGAGCTTGGCCCAAAGCAAAGAATACCAGAAAGATGTTTACTTGTTTTATTTACTGTACAAAGGCATTAGACTATGTGAATCATAACAAACTATGGCTAACATTGTGAAGAATGGGAATTTCAGAACACTTACCGAACCTGTACAGAGACAAGAGGCAGACTTTCCTCTTGAACAGACCAAGGGGATGCAAGTGTGGTTTAAAATCAAGAAAGGTATATGCCAGGGTCGTATCCTTTTACTATAGTTATTTAATCTGTATGCTAAGCAAATAATCAGAGAAGTTGGACTGTATGAAGGAGAACTTGGCATCGGATTTAGAGGAAGGTTCATTGGCAAGCTGAAATATGCAGATGATGCACCATGCTTGCTGAAAGCAAAGAGGACTTGAAGCACTTGCGGATGATCAACAAATACAGCCTTTTGTATGGATTACAACTGAAAGTAAAGAAAGAAAATCCTTACAACTGTAGAAATACCAGCTGTTGTCAAGGATTTCATCTCACTGGGATCTACAATCAATGCTCATGGAAGCGGCTGTGAAGAAATCAAACGATGTATTGCTTTGGGCAACTCTGCTGCAAAGGACCTCTTTTAAAATTTAAAGAGAAAAGATGTCACCTTGAGGACTAACACGTGCCTGACCCATGTCATAGTACTTTCAGTCACCTTAGATGCATGTGAAAACTGGACAATGAAAAAGGAATACCAGAGAAGAACTGATGGTGTTGAAGAAGAATACAAAAAATACCATAGACTGCCAGGAGAACAAACAAATCTGTCTTGAAAGAAGCACAGCCAGAGTGCTCCTTAGAAGTGAAGATGTACTTTGGACATGTTACCAGGAGGGATCAGTCCCTGTACTTTGGACATGTTACCAGGAGGAATCAGTCCCTGGAGAAGGACATCATGCTAGGTAAAGTAGAGGACCAATGAATAAAGGAAGACCTTCAATGAGATAGCTTGATACCATGGCTACAACAATGGGCTCAACAGAACAGTTTGAGGATGGCAGAGGAGCCGTGTTTTGTTCGGTTGTGCACAGGGTCGCTATGAGGAAGCTGATTGGGAGGCACCTAACAGCAGCAACAACATACCTATGGATAAAATTCTATTTGTGAACAGAGTTTTCTTTGTTATACAAATGAGAGCATGTCAGCACAGGTGTGTCTTACAGCAAAACACTTTTGAGATCTAAGAAGAGCATATTAAGCAGATATGGGGGAAGCTATACTCCCATAAAGATCTCCAAGGAACCAAGGGTAGATGCTGAAAGGAGACAAGGATATTCCCCCAGAGATGACATGGAGGACAAGCCTTCCCCTATGGCTAGTTGTCTCAATTTAGACTTTTAGTTTTCAATGGTGAAAAAAGTTAAGTATCTGTTTGGTAAAGCCA